ATTACAAACGAGCTGGGGGGCAGTGTGGGGATGTGGAAAAACCAGCCTGGTCACCCCAGCACATGGAGCTGTCCTGCCCATCCATCCTTTGTGATTCCACAGCTGCCTTTGAATCCATCCATCATCCATCCATCATCCATCCATCCATCCATCCATCCATCCATCATCCATCCATCCATCCATCATCCATCCATCCATCATCCATCCATCCATCCATCATCCATCCATCCATCCATCCATCCATCATCCATCCATCCATCATCCATCATCCATCCATCCATCATCCATCCATCCATCATCCATCATCCATCCATCCATCCATCCATCCATCCATCCATCCATCCATCTCTGTCTGTCCATCCATCCGTCCATCCATCCATCCATCCATCCATCCATCCATCCATCATCCATCCATCATCCATCCATCCATCTCTGTCTGTCCATCCATCCATCCGTCCATCCATCCATCCATCTCTGTCTGTCCATCCGTCCATCCATCCATCCATCCATCCATCCATCCATCATCCATCCATCATCCATCCATCCATCCATCCATCCATCCTTTGTGATTCCACAGCTGCCTTTGAATCCATCCATCATCCATCCATCATCCATCCATCCATCCATCCATCCATCCATCCATCCATCCATCATCCATCCATCCATCTCTGTCTGTCCATCCATCATCCATCCATCCATCCATCCATCCATCATCCATCCATCCATCCATCTCTGTCTGTCCATCCATCCATCCATCATCCATCATCCATCCATCCATCATCCATCATCCATCATCCATCCATCCATCCATCCATCATCCATCATCCATCCATCCATCATCCATCATCCATCATCCATCCATCATCCATCCATCCCACCATTTCCCATTCCCCTCAGTCCCACTCTCCCCACATCCTTGCCCATCAGCCACATCCAGCTCTTACCTGGCTAAGAGGGCTGGAGGGGCCCTTCTCCCATCCCCCAACCCAAGCAGAGGGGATACAACCCCCTAACATCCCTCCTGTCCTCTGAGCACCTCTGCACCCACATTTTCCCCCATCATTCACCGTGAAGGCGCGTCTGGACACCCCAGCACTTGGAACCACACCTGGGCTGGTCCCCCCAAGCTCTGGGGGTGTGGGGTGAGAGCCTGGGGGTGCCCAGGGCACCTCAAGCCGTACCTGACATCTGGGCTGTACAGGGCCAGCCGCAGCAGGTACAGGACTGCGCTGCCCAGGCCCACGCTGATGAAGCCAATGAGGGGAACGAGCTGCAGAGAGAGAGAGAGAAAGAGAGAGAGAGAGAGAAATGAAAAATACCCCAATAAAATGAATATTTATCAGGCGGACTGGAGAGTGAAAGGGAGAGCTGACACGCCGGGAGATTTACAGGGGGAATATGGCAGAGCAATCCTGTAGCCGGGCTGCGGTACACAGTGTAGCTGTCAGCTTGAGTGACTGAATTAAAAGAGGGAGAGAAAAATCGGCTCGTGTTGGAGAGGAATTGGATTTGGAATGAGAAATCGCTTCCCCTCCGCCTGTGGCTGCCCAGTGCTGGTGCTGCTGAGGACCTGGGGACCCCATTCCTGGCATTCCCAGTGTTCCCTCTCTGGGCTGAACCTCAGTTTCAGGCTCCTCCCTGGAGGATTTGGTCCTGGGCACCCCATTCCCGGTGTTCCCAGTGCCCCTAGTCAGGGTGATCCTCAGCTCATGGTTCTTTCCTGAAGGATTTGGTGCTGAGCACCCCATTTCCAGCATTCCCAGTGTTCCCAGTGACTCCACTCGTGGCTCCTCCCTGAGGTACTCGGCCCTGGGCAAGGTTTGTCCCCGAGCCACGCTGTGACCCCGGACAGGGTCCCTGTCCCCCAAAGCCCCCCAGGCTCTGCACCCCCTCCCCTGCACCATCTCCTGACAGAGCACGAGACAAGGAGATTCTGTTCGTGTTACTGGGATGGACTGGGACACGCTGGGGCTGAGCAGCCGGGGGTCCAGAGCGGCTCCTGGGGGGCACTCAGTGACCCCAGCCCC